TGTCACATGGACTCCAACTTTGTTCACTTGACAGTAAGTAGGAGGGTTTCACGAAACAGGAAAACGAGTAAAGGGGGGGACAGGAATAAATTTTAGGAGAGATATATATTTTTTTTTTTTCCGTGTGTGCAATTCTAAGAAATTAATGGCCATGAGCTCGTTTTTGATCAACTCCAACTATGTGGACCCCAAGTTCCCACCCTGTGAAGAGTATTCCCACAGCGATTACCTTCCCAATCACTCGCCGGAATATTACAGCAGCCAGAGGCGAGAGAGCACTTTCCAACATGAAGCGATGTACCAGCCGCGATCAGCCTGCAAGGAGCAGCTCTACTCGTCCTGTCAGAGCTCCGGCCACCAAGCAGCGGTGTTATCCCCCCGGGGTCATGTCCATCCTCCGGCCGGACTGCAGAGCCACCTCTCTGAACCAAACCATTCCTGCGAGCCGGTCACCCCCAGCCCACCACCCTCCTGCAGCCAAAACTCTCTGAACCAAAGCCCTTCCAATTCCTCTTGCAAAGAGCCGGTAGTTTACCCCTGGATGAAAAAAGTCCATGTAAGCACGGGTAAGTGAACTAAAGTGGCTTTGCTTTATACTGAGTAGCACCTCAAAGTCTTGTAGAAATCTTATTGCACCAGTTGTAAAATAACCATTCGTGGAGATTTACGATCGCCTGTTTGCAGAGCGGTATAATTACATCCTCCATAAATTTTTATTGCTCTGCTTGGCCATGTGCCTTTGAAGTCTCTGTTACCATCCTACTCCAATTTCTTGCAGGCTACTTTTTTTATGGCTGTTGAATCTTCATAAGTTAAGTTTTATGTTTTCGTAATTTGTATTTAAGTGGCGGGTTGAGTAAACTTTTACTATTTTCCCTCCCCCCTCCCCCCCCTTTTTTTAAAGTGTGATATTTAATAAAAAGGAGTGTCTGTGCTTGTCTGCTTGCATGTGTATAGGGGGAACTTTAAAGATTTGGGGATAATAGAGCGCTGCTCAAGTAGGGGTGTGTATATATATGTGTATATACACACGTAGAGGGCATGGAAAATGTGTCTACGGGACCTTATAAAAACGTTTAGACAGGAATACACGTCAAGCAATGAGGATGGAGGTGGAGATTTGGAGACAAGTTCTGGGTATATTTTTAGAACGTTTGCGGTGTTGTGGTTTTTTTTAGTGTATCTCCCCATTAAAAAG